ATGTAAAGGTTCAGTGCAGTGCAAAATAAATATAGTTCATAATGCAGTAAAACATTGAGTTGTGTCCTCCTTAAAGGATTATAAAAGTTTAGTTACATTCATGGGCGGTTCTAGATAGGGGCCAACGGGGCCCAGTGCCCCTGTAGCTCATGTCCTGGCCCCTGTACCGAAGGCATAACACTAAAAGAAGTTCTAATGATGATATGCACTGAAACAGACATGGTTACCGGTAGGTCCTTTGGATCTATGTAACTTTTTTTCTTTAAAAATTGTGTTTTACTAATTTTTAAAAATTATAAGGTAATAGCTTCAGTGGTGATAGGATCCCATTTTTGGGGGGGTTCTTTTTCAAAACAAATTAGGAAAAATACAGCTAAATCTATTACTTTTTCTTGAGTTCTAATTCTGATGTTATAGAAAAAGGTTATTTTAACTTCAATGAAGTAAAAAAAAAAAGTAACATTCATAAATTCTGATTGTATATTGACCAAATAAGACAGAATTTTAATTCAACCTAATAGAATAGAAATTTCATTTCATGCAGCTATCTTAATACATCTGAATCCCTTGCTCTTTTTTTATTTATTTAATGCTTTTCTGTTCCCTCATGAAAACACACTGGCCCCCTCCTGGCCCCCTGGTACATTTTGGTCTAGAAACCACTGGTCACATCGGTAGTGCAAAATAAAGTTACATATAACAGAATAGGACTGATAACTTTGTTTAGTTGCCCTATAAACTTTGCTGACTGTCTGTATACACACATAGCTTAGCTCCATGTTAACCTGATTTATATTTAATGTTTGAAGATGACCGCAGACATTACATCTGAATGGATCTCAATTTCCTGATGCTCCTCCAGTGCAGCAAGTTCCTCCAGAGTGCCTTCCATCCCAGCCAAGACGACATGCCTGGAGGCTAAATAAAGCTGCCCAGGAGGAAGAGGAGCGAGTGTCAATGGGGGAACCGCATCGGAAGAGGCTGATGAAAGAAAAATACCAGTACACCTGCAAGGTTGGTGGCCAGGACAAAAGTAAGAGGAGTGGAAACTTTTACGGAACCCAGCTGAAGGGGCGGTGGTATTCTGCCTAAGGACTGACCCAGGAAAACTGGAGGAAGAGTTTGTCACCATACTTGTCTGTCTCTCTGTCGTTGGTCTGTCTGTCTGTTACAATAAACTTTAATAATTTAATTTGAGCCAAAAACAGCATTCACATTTTTATTTAATTTCTTGAATACCAGCACAGAGGATGTCACCTATTGAATTGTTAAATCGAAAGCCAGAATTACTTGCAGAATAATTTTGCATTTATTCAAATAAATTAAAATACAACACTCTTTGCTCAGTTTGAAATGTTTTATTTACTTGTACTACACAGATGTAGTCTCTCAAATAATTGAGTTTACCAAAAGGAGTGGAAAATTTGTGTTTTTAGTCTTTTTGGGAGGGTTTTTACAAACACTCTTTTTATAGGAGGAGTTTGCCAGAACAGAAGAAATAAGCCAAAGGCCCAACTTTTAAATTTTTTAATCAGGGAATCAAATATGGTAATTTACCTGTCCCGTACAGACAGACAGCAGGAAGGGAGCTCACCTTGATGCCGTGGCTCTGTGGAAGTGCAACTTTAAAACCAGAATAAGGCTGGAGTTTCCCTTCAACAGAACATGGAGGATTTTATTCAGTTGTGGGGTTTTAACATAATTTTATGTGATGTGTCAGATAAAGGAGAACGACATTTTAACAAGTTCCTCATTTAAGGATTTTTAACCAACACTTGTTTTAAATCAATCATTGTTTATATGTTTTTAATTTTTTAAATAATGTATTGTTAAAAGTCTTGAAATAGAGTGGAAACATAATGGAGTTGTTAGTGATTTCAGTTATACACCGTTAACTGTTATAGCTTTAAATGTTGCATATGACATTTTGAGCTATGTGAAAATTGATTTGCTTGCATTAGAAAATATGTTTATTTACATTTGCTTTAAATTGAATTTTCTTTAAATGCATTCATGTGCATTATCACAGGGTTATTACCAGGGGGATTTATAGGCTAAACAGTTCCTGTGTTAGTTACGTTACACAGAATGCATTACACGCGTACTTCCTACTTCTGGAATGCACTAGAGGCACAGATTCATCAGTAAAAATGCTAATCCATTGTTCTCTGCATGCATGGTTTTAAATCCCAGCCTCGCCAAATTTGGGACATGTGTAAGAAGCCAGGGACACATATAATAATTTTTTTTTTTTTTTTTTTGCTGTTTAACAATGTAGAGGACACCGTCTTTCCTCTAATTCCCTTTTCCTTCACAGAGGTCTGCATGTTAGGTTTTTTACATCTGTAATAAGGAAAACATGAAATAATCATCCCCATTTCATATGACACGTCTCTTTAAAAAGGACACTTTACCCTCCACTCTAGGAATTATTCAGGAATGATGAGAAACATAAATCTGATGTCGCTGTGTCCAAATTCTCAAAAACTAAGTCCAATCAGACATTTGTGTTTGATATAGATACCAGTTTTACTGCTGAAAAAAGCAGGAGTGAAGAGTTCCTCATAGATGTGGCTTATGTAGAATATATCCTACCCACTGCAAAGCCTGAAGCTTTTATGAAAATCAAGTTCAATTTTAAAATGTCATGCATTCTCCCGTTACTATATTACTATTTAAAAACCGTAAATACTATGACTCGTTCAAACTTTTTATCTCAAACACAAAAAAGAGGTGTTATTACAGACAGGGGATGTGTGTGTTTACTTCACTTTTTGTTATAGAATTAAACCTATAAAAAACCTCTAAAATAACACAAACCTACAGCCGAATAAAGCCATCTAAATCTAAATATTGAGACATATCTGAAGTATGGAAGAGGATTAAAAAAAAAGTAAAATGAGTTAGGACTCTATAGCCAAAGCCCAGGATTATTACTTTGATACTGTAGGAATATTACAAGTAGTCATAATTCTATGTGAATAATTCTGAGATTAAAGTCAGAATTAGTTACAATAGTGAGAATAAAGTCAGACTTTTGAGATTAAAGAAAAAAATCAATTGTTTTTTTGTTGTTTTTCTATTGATTGGACTTTTTGTCTTTTTTCCAGTGGCCCTAATCCTCTTCTGTACTGAAGGCATGAAACAGACACATTTTTTAAAAATTTTCTCATCTTGTTCAAGATCAATATGTGGTGTAAATCCATCTGTTTAAGAAACTGAAGTGGAGGAAATGACGTTCTTTGTGTTTAAAGTTATTCTTATCCCAGCACTGCTTAACTTAAACATGACAAAAATCTATTATTCCAACTCTTATAATAAAAGAAAATAACGTCAATCTGCTGATGAGAAAATCAGTCACCTTAAAATAAAGAAGATATGCATTTAATTGTGAAGCTTTTGACAGTATTTTAGACAAAAAAAAAAGAATCAATTTCAAGGCAACCTCAGATGAGAACATCACCATTTATAACCAAAGATGGCGGCTTGGAGTACAATGGTTCGACGCGGATGTGAGAAACTAATTTGTAACGCATTTTGTTGAAATTAAAGTAACTCCTCCAATCCAAAGTGAAGAGTTCCAATTTTCCATCAAGGTTTTATTTTATTTTTTTCCAGGTGATGCAGAAATCAGAAGGCTTTGCCGTCACTGTCCATCCTGACAATCTACGACACTAAAACTCCAGCTCCGCTCTTAGATCCTCCTCCCTCGCTGTTACCAGACGACCCTGCAGGCTGACCCTGACCCTCGCCTTCGCCCTCTCCAACCAGACGGATGTTGTAGCGTTCTCTGTACTCTGTTAGCTCCCGCCCTTTCGCCTGCATCTGCGTGTTGATGGTCTCGATTATTTTGGATATCTGAAAGAGAGGAAAAAAAAAAAAAAAAGATTAGCTTGTGTGTTTCAGCTCTAATATGTGAAATTAGCTGCCTCTGCTACTCTTATATGGAAGAACCAATTGGTTAGTGGTTTTATATCAAAATGATCATCTGAGGCCAACTAAGTTCCACTTTGTTAATTTCCAAAACATTTAATTTATTTCCATCAGCTTTATTTCTATCTAAATTTGTCACTTTTTCAATGGAGCTTTTAAGTCTTTGCCAACAAACATTTCATAACAGTAGAATATTAGCAGTTTAAATAAGAGAAATAATTAAAGAAAACGTTGTACGGATCTCGTGTGAAGTTACCTGTTCTTTGTTGTTTTCCAATGCGGGTAGAACTTCTTTCACTGTTCTCTCCACCAACACCCCTCCTACTAGACGAAAACACTTCCTCGAAGGATCCACCTCCTTTAGAGTTTCAATAACTAAACTGAACACAGAATTCGAAAGCTTAGAGTTTTACAGCAACAGACAGGTTAATGCTGGCTAATAGGGTTGTAATTCTAAATCAAAGGTACCTGTATTCCTGAGGTGTTACCCTAACCTTTATTAAAAATTAGTTAGTCAACATCTTTAAACATGCCACTGAATTTAAGCCTAGAGAAAAGAACACTAATATTTACATTTTTTTTTTTTTTAAATTCAGGCATGTTTTATTACTCGGATTAAACATAGATAAGCAACATGCAGAAAAAGGCTCCAGCGGTAGAATCCTCTGTTTCCACAAACCTGTGCTCATTGATATCCATTTCCAGCTCGGCAGCTTTAGACGCCATGCTACGCTGTTCCTGCCGCATCCTCTGAAATGTGGCCACCACCTGTCAGAAAAAAAAACAAAAAAAACCTCATCAGGATTGTCTGACTATGGAAGAGTATTAGGGCCACTGAAGAAAAAAAAGGTTAACTGATTTTTAAATATTATTTTAGTATAATATGAGAAAAAAAGTCAAGATTCTGACTTTAATCTCAGAATTGTTGATGTTAATGTAGATGGACACCATGAAGGCAACCTGACTCCGCCAGATGGATTTGCTCCGCATATCCATCTGGAAACCTTCAGTTAACCCGCCTCAAAGCCAACGCTGATTGGACGTTCGTTTGGTGAACGGCTCCAAATTTTTTTCAAAGGAGAGTAGCCAGACTGATTAGCGAGTGAAATCTTGAAAGCTCGCGAGATCAGGATGGTCTCACGAGGCTACCATGAAGGTAGAGATGTGGGAGCTCTCAGCTTTGTGGACAAAGATGTGAGTTCTTTGGGAGGGCCAGTGACACAGTGGTGGAAAATGATGAAATCAGGCAACTTTTAGATTTAGATTTATTTTGTCATTTTGTATATACACGAATGTAAATAAACTTAAATAAATTTAAAACAGCTCTAGACAATTTCCTTTTTAAGTGCCTGAGGGGTCCCCGGTGATGCTATTTCATTAATAGAGGAGCAGAAGGTCATTAAAACAAGAGAGCTAGTCTCTAAAACAGACATGGCTACGGCTTGATGCTAACATGTTTGTTAGCTGTCAGAATTCAGTCTTTTTTTATTTTTTCAGTGGCCCTAATCCTCTTCCGTTGTCTGACAGTGCCGCTGAAAAAAACAACAATAACTCTCATTATTACATTGTTTGCGCCTATTTTGAATTGAATTAATTTAATTGGATTAATTAAATTTTCTTCAGAAAATTAATAATAATAAAAAGAATAATAGATAGATCAATTACAGAAAATACTTGAAACAAACAACCCTGTACAACACAAAAAAAAGGATTGATTACAGGTTGAACATTAAAACAGATTTTCAGTTCCAAATAACTTAAATTCATTGGAACATAGACAGAAAATAATCAAATAAACAAAATGTTGCACTTAATAAACAAGTATATAAATAGCCTGAGATCTGACATCGATTATTTATTCATTTAGGATTATGGATTATTAATTCATTTAAATTGAAAACGGGTATGAAGAACTAAAACTTATTTTACATACCACTTCTCCCTCTAATTACAGTTAAAGCAGCTTAAGTGACCTCACTGTTTAACTTCTGTGTTTTTGATCCAATATCCACAAAAAAATATACAAAATTATAAACATATTATTATACATCTACATACGTGCATTACTAAACAACATTAGACAGTAAACTGCGATCAAAAATACGAGTGTGCAACTATTATAACACTAACGTTTTAATGTAAATTGTTCATCTGTTTTAGGAGCATGTCCTGGTCAAACACAATATGCAAGCTGCAAACAAGCCAGTACAGAATAGATTAGAATAAAAAGCGATGTTAAAGCTACAGTGTGTAACTTTTAGCGACATCTAGCGGTCAGACTGCAGACTGCAGCAACATGAACATCCCCCCCCCACCGCTTCTCCCCCCCAACAGTACGGCGAGCGTTACGGGACAAAATGTCTTCCACGACGTCCGCATCACCTACCTTCTCAAGTGATGAGGTTTGTTTACATAGATAATTTTACAGATAGTATTTCATTAGTCTGTGTAGGGTATATATTTCATGTAGACTTAAGATAATAAATATACCCGTTATTTTTTCTACATCGTTGTGACGTTTTGGCAATCTCGCAATCACTAGTTTGTTGGCTCTGCGCTGCCGTAGCGCAAAGATGTCTGCCTCCATGGCTGCGAGACCCGCTCCTATGTAATTATAAATAACGAATTCTAAGGCAACGCAAATATTAAGGTTAAGAGGCTGAGCTCGTAGATGATGATAAATAACATAGTTATGTATAATATATTACATTTCTGACTGTATATCCCTGTAATTATTACACACTGTAGCTTTAATAGATTATTCACGTAGACAATAAAAGTATAAAACAGAGCATAAAAAAACAGCAATATTTTCATATTGCAGTTATAGATTTTTTTTTTTTTTTTTTACATATTTTTTAGTGAGAGTAAAAAAACAAGAAGACTCCAGAAGAGTTTTATTAGTAGAGTCTGCTGTCAGTGTTTTGATCAGCTAATGGTGGAAGGATTGATTTCCTTCACTTTGAGTCTGCAGTTTTAGAAAAGATCTCAATAGCATTAAGGCCACATCAATATATTATTATAATTAAGGGCTTCACTTTATAATAAGGCTTTTCCTGGAGCAGAACACCATACAATACCTGCACCATCACGACATTTAACCCTCATAACTGGACATCTTGCATTAAATACATTGAGAATACATTTTTCTTTGTTTCCAACAAAACATTTTATTGTGATCCCTTAGGTGGCTCTGCTAAAAAAAAATGTTTTTTATATTTTCAATTGCAATAGAAGACAAAAAAAGGTAAGCTTTTACTTATGAATGTCTTGATTATTTTAAATTATATGTATTTTAAGAGAATGAAAATATGAATTTAACGTACAACTGAAGTAAATAGAAAGAAACAAAATATTGTACTGCTGATTTTTCTCGTTTTTTAAAGTGCCCAATAACTGTTTTATTTAATCATAACTTCTAAACTTTTAATTACAGTTGATAATTATTCTGCCACTACCACCTCAGTAATTGTGCTGTTTACAATGCATTCATATCAGTACATATGTGGCAAATAATATGTGGCAATTAATATTTGATGTTAAAATATTTTTTTTATTTTATTTTTTGACTGTTTAATTCCTTTAAACATTTATTATGACACATAAGGATTGGAGAAACTTCAAGAAACCAACTGTAAGTAGTAAAAATAGCCTTCCGCCTCGTCATACCCAACCCTCACTGATCATTTACTGGATTGTTGAAGTTTATATTACAGAACCAAATAAATGCGTCCGAGATAAATGCATCATATCATGATGAGATAGACTGGTTTATTTTTATCGCAGTAGGGAGATTGTAGAAAGGAATCTTGTGTTTTAATGATGGCGACAGGGAAGCTAATGTTAGCTTAAGCTAGCTGGCCGATCGATTAAGGGCTTTAACTCCACCGAATCTTATAATTTACACCAACATTGAATGCAACCAAAACTTGTAGACCGAGAACAGGTGAAAGTACCTGTTCAGCCGACGGACCGGCCTGTTTTCCTGATCCGCCGCCGCTGCTGGACTTGCTACCCGTGCTGCTACTGTTGGCTGCCATCTTGGAAGGGTGTTCCCGGTTAGGACCCCAAGCTTCATTTGCAAATGGTGGCGATGAGTTTGCCTGTATGCAAATGAGAAATAAGAAAATAAACGCTCTGTGTCTTTGTTAGTTTGTTTTTTAAATTAAAAACATTTCAGGTAACATGTTTTATGTTGATGTAGGATGTATGCTATTTCAATATTATTGTTATTTTGTTCATTCGCACGTTTTAAAAAAACAACCCAAATACATACAAAAATAAAATGAAAAAAATATATATATTGCGGAACTTAGAGAATAACGTGTGGTTATTTCCAGCACTTGTTCGGAAATCAAATTTTTTTTTTAAAGAAAATTTGACAATTATAACGGTTCAAAGGTAATATATACTATATATGATTTTCTTTTTCAATAGCAAACCTAAGACTTTTCCTATGGCAGTGTTGATCTGCTATTTCAAACCATTGTTCTAACAATATCTGATCTTCTATTCATAGTTTTATTATTCATGTAAATAGTTTATTTTTTTCAGATTTGCCCATATCACGTTAATTTGAATTACATATTTGTCACATTGTATGAAAACATTGTTTTTTTTATTATTGATTTTATTGTAAAACGTGATGGGCTGTAGAACGCTAAAATTGTCAAAGCTAAAACATGATACCTTTAAGACATAAATAGTTTAATGTTTGTGTCACAATAGTCAGTTTCTATTAAATAAGAAAAAAAAATGTTGCAACTCATTATTTATCTTACTTCAAAGAGTTGTTGTAAATGATGGGTCATATGGGCAGGAAGGATTTTTTTTCTTCTTTTTTTTATTGCTTTCTTTCTTACAAGAAATCTGACTTCACAGTCTGATGAAGAGGATGCTCAGAGCTTTCTATGTTGTTGTTCATTTTATGAAGAATTTATCTTTGTAAAATCCTCTCCAGAAGCATAGGCGTAACCAGACATTTTTATAAGGGTGGCCAAGCAATAACCAATGTACACTGAGGGGTGGCCAAAAGCAGACAGGTGCCAGAACCTCTAGGTCAATCTAAACTGTTCCAAAAGGAAAATGAACAAGCAAAGCGTCTATATTTTCTAAATAAAGACTAACTATATTTCTCTACAGCCTTTGCTAACAAATAGACGCATATATTTAAACATACATGGTGTCTGAATTAAAGGTGTAGTGGACAAAATTCTTTAAGTTTTGAGTTCTGGCGCGAACATCTTATTCATTGTCATTACTCACCTACTTTTATTATTAATCATTCAGCATAAAATTCATATTTACTTATTATTAAAGTAGTTATTTATCTCTGATTTCAGTGAAGATTCCTAGATGACTTGCAGACATAATTTCCTCTTTGCCCCGTATAAGACAAAATCCAGTTCTGAAAAGAGCATGAATTTTGTATTTATCTTCAATGTTAGTAATATTAATGTGCATAATTAACCACAGGATTTTTGTTGTCAGGTAATTCTTTAAATATATAAATATTTAAATGTTAAATAAGTCAAAACATTCCACTTGAGAGTATTACTGCTCTGTCTGTATTTTAGGGGGGAAATGGTAGGGGTGGCCACAGGGGTGGCCATCTAGCTCCGCCCCTCTCCAGACGTTCTAGCAGAGTCCATGCTGTTACACCAACAGAAGACACAACAGACCTATTGGAGATATGTTGGATAATATTGCAAACAACATAAGTCCGAAAATCCCTCAAGAAGTATAAATGTATTTACATGAGTAGGTTAATTATCAAGACACTCATAAAGGAAACAAAAAAGAATAGAATCCTCTTTTATAATATATAATGTTAGACAGAGTAAAGTTTCACTGATATTACTACAGCAACATGCTTAACCAGTAAACATTGTTAGCCATAATGTGTTATTAACTGCCCTGTCTTCTTGAATGTGTTGTTTTATGAGAAAAGCCCCATTTTTTCTAATATTTTAGTGATGGAGGGCGCCCACTAGGTGGCGCCAGTGTTGTTTGTTTTATGCACAGCAGAGAAGAAGATTAAAGGTTGCACCTTCTCATTGCGAAGGACTGAACTTGACAAGCACCCAAATGTTAATAAAACATTAACATAATGTAGACAGCAAAGGACTGTGACCCTGTGAGACCAATGTTTAGGTGTATTTTGGGATCACCTGGGAAGCATTTGGCCTCGGTGTCAGTTCTGCTGCAAAACAGGTCTGTTTATCATAAATATATCGATAGTATTTGTGGTTTTTTGTTGTTGTTTTTTTTCTTTTGGGGGGGTTATATTTGCACAATGTGAGCCTCCTTTAATGTTTCTGTTTTCTCCTGTCATAAATGTCAAGCTGTACAAAAGTTAAACAACAAGCCTGCACTAGAGATGACCCAGTAACTTGTGTGGTAAATCATGAACCATTGTTCACTTGACAAGTTTCCTGAAAATGACTCTTTTTATTTTTCTGTGCAGGATGTCCACTTCAGCAGTCCCTGTGGCAGCAGTCTGTCAGGTAACGGCGACCCCAGACAAAGAGGCCAACTTCTCTGCCTGTAAACACCTGCTGGAGGAAGCCAGGCAGAGAGGGGCCTGCATGGTTTTCCTGCCAGAGGGATTTGACTACATTGGAGCCAGCAGAGAAGAAACCCTGTCCCTGTCAGAGACTCTGGGAGGGGATATGATGTCCCGATACACTCAGCTGGCCAGGTGGAGATGGATGGATGGATGGATGGATGGATGGATGGATGGATGGATGGATGGATGGTTGGATGGTTGGATGGTTGGATTAAGGGATGGATGGATAGATTAATTCATAGAAAGTTGGATGGATGGATGGATGGATGGATGGATGGATGGATGGATGGATGGATGGATGGATGGATGGATTAATTGATGGGTGGTTGGACTGATGGATAGATGGATTAATTGATTGATGGATGGAATAATTGATGGATGGATGGTGGTTGAATGGATATTGAATGGATGAATGGATAATGGTTGGATGGATGATGGTTGGACGGGTGGATGGATGCTTTTTTGCTAAATAAGCTTCATATCAAATATTTTGGGTCTATCAAACTCTTTTTAGAAAGCTGGAGGTGTGGCTGTCTCTTGGAGGCTTTCATGAACGAGGACCTGACTGGGAGAACGATAGGCGTATTTATAACAGCCATGTCATCATTAATAACAAAGGTGGAGTGTTTTCCTATGAAATACACAAAAGAATCCACCTTCAATCTACTGTAGTGATCATGCAACATGATCCGCTGTCATCAAACCAACAGGTGACATCGTGTCAGTCTACAGGAAGTCCCATTTGTTTGATGTGGAGCTGCCAGAAAAAGGCGTGTCACTCAAAGAGAGTGCCTTCACCATCCCTGGAGCCTCCCTGGCTCCTCCTGTCCACACTCCCATTGGCAAGGTGGGAATTTATTCAAATATGGCCTCTCATCATAGCACATTCCCCTCACTGTACATCCTTATATGGTGACCTACTGTATGTTTGAGGATTAAATAATTTAAGAGCATTATATTCATCTGCTTGAACAAAATTTACAATGAGGGAAAAAGCAATTTTTTTTTACTTAAAAAGTAGGACTTTAGACTATGTTTTTTAAGTTTCTGCTGATTATGTTTTTCTTTACATAATTTAGGTTGGACTGGGCATCTGCTATGATCTAAGGTTCCCTGAGTTATCGCTTGCTTTGCAAAGACACGGCGCAGAGATCCTTACATACCCATCAGCTTTCACTGTAGCAACAGGAGCTGCACACTGGGAGGTGGGATAACAATATTATACTATGACAATATTAAAGGAATAGCGGAGGATGTTCTTTATCAGGGTGGATCATCAAAATAAGTGGTCCTTCTAATTGTCAATCATTCTGGTGATATGTTTACATAAGGCCGTCCTACCTGCTCCGCCCCATTTTCACTTACCGATGGCTAAGTCTGACATAGTGGAAAAATTGCAAATCTTTTTTTTTGGAAAGTAAGCTTGTATGAAGGATGCAAAGAGTAACTTTTAATCAGAGCATGCAAAAGGAGAAATGCTTGTGCATGCTCTGACACGTGTTTAAAAGGCGTTCCCTGTCTGGAGCGGGTATAGGGTTGTGCATGTGCATTTTTGGGGGTTTTTAAAGTGGAGAGGTCTTTTAAGAAATTCGCCAAAATCCTAAACAATACCTTTAAAAACAAATATGTCAAAGAAAGATCAATCATGTTATTTTTAGAAAGTTAAAAAGAACAAAGCCATTTCTGTCATAATTTTAGTAGCTACTGTAATTATAAAAACTATCAACCTGTACCTCTTCATCAATCCAACAAAACTCAACTCTCATTGTTAGACCCCAGCTTTTAAACAACACAAGTTTTCGCGAAATTCACAAAAATCCACCTTTAAGGATGAAGTGCTACCTGGTGTAAAAGCTTTGCTATAATTCAAAATACCTTTATCTACGTGTCAGAGAGTTGAGTGTCTGTCTTATATTTATGGGTGTTCTTCATTTATTACTTTGCATTCCTGGTCTGCTACATGAAAGACGGTTTTCTGACAAGAAAGGTAGAGAATATTTGGCTGATTTTTTTAAACAATTTTTTCTGAACAGTCATGGAAACTAAAGCAGCAGCAGCATCCATTGTTTTTAACTTAAAATGTGGTAGTTTAACTCAAGATGATCAAACTACATCCTGTCTAAGCCACAATAACTTAGTTGGGTAAATTATGAATAATTGTGCTGTGATGTGTGTCCAGGTGTTGCTCCGAGCTCGAGCAATAGAAACGCAGAGCTTCGTCTTGGCCGCGGCGCAAGTAGGCCGGCACCACGAGAAGCGCACGTCCTACGGTCACGCCTTAGCCGTGGACCCATGGGGGGACGTGCTGGGGGATTGTGGCGGGGAGAAGCCAGGCATGGTGCTGGTGGAAGTGGACCTGGAGAAAGTCAATAGAACCCGAAGGAACATGCCTGTCCAACAGCACCGCAGGGACGACGCTTTTTACACCAGCCTCAGTCAAATTTGATTTTAGATTAAATGTGTATGCGACCAAGATGGGATGTAGAATTTTTGATTCATTGTTGATCACAGAAACCTTGATTACTGATAATTGGGAATGAAAAACAGAGTTTCTATGCAGCCCTAAAAAGATAAAATCATAGGCTACCTTTATATATAAATATATACCTTAAATATAAGACAGAGAAGGAATTAAAATCTTTGCTTGTATTAATTTTAAAAAATGGATCAAATTGTGATACGAATGAAAAATGTGTGCTTTTGGTTATATAATAATAATGTTTAAGGATACAATGTAGAGCAGT